TTACAAAGAGAGAGAGGTGATGAACTTGCCTGGCCAGTTCGCCTTACAATTGCTGCTGAAACTGCACAAGCCATTGCTCATCTGCACTCTGCTATAGATCCCCCAATATACCACAGAGACATCAAGTCTAGCAACATACTCCTTGATTACAATTTCGGGTCCAAAGTAGCAGATTTTGGTCTTTCTAGACTTGGAAGGACTGAAATATCCCACATCTCAACAGCCCCTCAAGGAACTCCAGGATACCTTGATCCTCAGTACCATCAAAACTTCCATCTTTCAGACAAAAGCGATGTTTATAGTTTTGGGGTAGTTCTCATTGAGATCATAACAGCATTAAAAGTGGTGGACTTTTCTAGGCCTCCAAATGCAGTTAATTTGGCAGCTGTTGCTATTGACAGAATTAGCAAGGGGCGTTTAGATGAGATCATTGACCCATTACTAGAGCCAAATAGTGATTCTTGGACATTATCTTCAATCTACAAGGTGGCAGAGCTCGCTTTTAGATGCTTATCATTTCACAGGGACATGAGACCTACAATGATAGAAGTAGCAGCAGAATTGGAAAAAATCAGGCTAAGTAGATGGGTTTCTGCAGAAGAAATTACTTGTGCAGCTTCATCAGAGGTATCTCCTTGCTCTTCCTCATCCAATCTAAGCGAGCAACCACTGAGCATGGCCGTTAATAAGAAGTTTGGACTGGAAAATAGAGGCCTATTTATGCTTCAGATGACTAATGTTGGCTCTGTGAACTTGATGAAAAAATTGAAGGATAATTCACAAGTTTCAGTCCAAGGCCCATGGTTGAGTGAACAAAGCTTTCATCGGGCAGTTTGCTGAGCAATGCAACCCATTAACCAGAAGCCACTCTTTCTCCAGATTTCAACTTCAGCTCGGCCTGTTATTACTTTGGTGTCATCAATGCAGTACCAGAGTTTTGTCCCTCTTCATAGTTTCTAAGAGCTCCCTACCTCGTGTATGTATTTATCGACACGAATTAAAATGTTCCCATTAATGTCTTTTTCTGCCTTTAGTGTATCACAATACTGTCATCGGGACTTGTTGACACGAAAATTCGGTGACAGACGAAAAGAGTACAGCTAAAACAAACAGGCAGGCGTGATCAAAACCTTGTATAAATTGTTGGGCCCTGTTATAAAAAATCAGCCTCAGCCTTTATAATGTTTGGGGAAATAGTGGAGCAAGGCCTGAACAGTTGTTACCCCTACATTGTTGTAAGTAAACCCATATAATAATCTAATCAAAGGGCCTAGTTTGTTTGTCAGTTTATGTCGAACGGCTAACCCAACTCTGCAACTGAAAAACCACCTCGTACCTTGGGCGTACTTGTGGGGTTTAAGAGGTGCTGTTACAACCAGCAACTTAATCGAACTAAAACCCTTAAAAAATTGGAACTGCAATCCTTTTTTCTCGGATTTCCTGTCCCAAAGTTCAAATCGTCCAATCATCGTCGCTTATCTCATCAATCCGTAAGTAAATCTCTCCTAAATTTCGCTCAAGTTTGTAACCTTTTTAAGTAAATCATGCGAATTCCCCTCCGAAAGCAAAGAAACCAAAGTACAAAGGACGGTGCAGATGTATCTGGATCGTTGGGGTTTAAGTAAGACATTTCACTTGCTGACTTCTGGACTATTTTGTACTTTCAGTTGATAGCAGAGAAGCCCTAACTTCTATGCCCCTAATGGAGTATAGAGTATGGACTAGGTATAAAGCTAACTGATGAAAAACACTGAAAATAAAAACATCTGGAAGTGCATCAATTAGCTGCTTCGGCTGCATTTTATTTACAGTGTAGGTGATTGATGGGAGCAATTGGTGGGTTTTTTCTACGATGCGTGTTTTGTTTGATTTCCAAGAAATTTTATGAAATGAAGAGAAAAATAAAAGCTTTTCCTAATGAAACCATGTCTTGTACTGAAAAATGTGAAGAATAGAGTTCTAAGTTTTTAACCTTGTTCTTTCTCTATTCATGTGTGTCTGCAGATTAGATTTATGGGTTTGAATTGCACGAGCAGATAAGATTTTAGATTACAGGAATTTGCAGCGATGATAATATCAAAGACCTTTTATTTTCTGAGGCCTTTCCTGTGATAGAGTCTCAAGCACTTTTGAGCCGCATCTTAATCGCAAAGAAAGTTTGTCTATGTGATTTTCTCAATTTCTGAGGCACGTTCATTTTTAATTAATCCCCTGACTTCTTTACGGGTGGAGTTCCAAATTCCGATGTGATTTTGCATGAAATGGCATTTGTTTCTTGTTGAATTTTGGGCTCATGGTCTGGTTCACGGCCATGGGGCTATCGTTGATATCTCCAGGTATAAAAGGTTTTCTTTTCCATCTGCCCGATTTTGTTTGAAAATTCATCTGGTGATGAATTATATTGGATTGAAGTTGCTTCTTGCAAATTCTTTTCTACGTTCAACCTCTCCAATTCATACTCTGTAACAGTGATGCAACTTCTGCGTTGATCTTTCAACGCAGCCTTTTGGGTTTTGACCCAATGATCACTACTACATACTGCTCTGGGTATTCAAACAATCAAGTTTCAACCATTCAAATTACTCTTCTTTGGAGGATAAAACAAAAATCTACCTCCCTTGTCCTTCCAGGAATGAATTTGTAGATATTTTCCTTAAAATTCATGAAATAACTTTAACAATACGACAGAATCTGAGATGTTTCATGGAAGTCACAGAGAAAGAATGTCTTGTTCCTCTTTTTATTGTGCGACAAATATTCTATGTAGGCATAAAAATAACCTGTAGATCGCAACCTTATGAAGAGTGAATCAACGGTGGTTAATGTGACAGACAAAGTGAAAGGTGAACTAACGGTAGTGAGTTAGACAACCAAAGACTCAAGGACAAAACAAGATCCCTGTGCTGTTTGATTTGCTCCTCTCATTACTAATCAGGACGTGTTGCCGCCGACTATAATTCCTCGAGGGAAGCACGAAACACCAAGCGAAGCCAAGCAAGCAGCCTGTTCCGTACTCTTAAAAAATGAAAAAGCAAACAGACCCCTAAAGATCGGTTTGACACGTGTTCGGTTCACAGCTAAAGTGGCCACACGCATGGAAATTAAGAATTGCACTGTTGGGCTTATCAACTATGTGATTTTTTGTCAAATATCCATACCAACAATTCAAAGCCTAACTCTCCAAGAAAAAGTGGAAAAAAGGCGCTTCCCATGTAGCGACAATTACAACTAATATGCTGCGAATCTTCTTCCGTTTGCATGGTATAAAATGAATAGAAACACCCCACCAACTACTAGAATCAAAACAAGTTTCAAAAGACTTCCAATTTTCTAAAGCCAAAGGACAATGGCTACCACTAGATTGTTGCGTTCATCTAACAAGCCTTTGGGTCGCATTTTTCCTGCTGCTTCTTATTGGCCCTCTTCGTCGGTGAAAACTGTGAGGTGTACGAGTAAGTTAGGGCTAGATGTGGGGAAAAAAGCTTGTGGGGGTGATGAGAGAAAACCAACGGTGGCTGTGAAGGCTTCTGTGGCAGCAGCGGAGAGTGGTGTGGTCATATCAAAGCCACAGGTTGATTGGGGAAGAGAGTTGGCATCATTGCTCGCAAATGCTATTAATGTTATGCGTCAGGTATTGAGGCTGGTTGTGAAACCAAGACCTTGGAAATTTCACGTTCAGATGCTCATTGAAAAGGTATAATACTCCTGTCAGTTATATATACCCCGTCATTGAAGAGCTTTAACTTTTCATATGTTTAGTCATTTGCAAACGGAACAATTAAATTTATCAGCTGCAATCCTGCATGCAGGTCATAGTTGATTGTCGATTCTTTACCATATTTGCTGTTGCGGGATCTTTGCTTGGATCAGTACTGTGTTTCATGGAGGTAATTGCATGATTTCAACAATAAAAAAAAAATACCTTAGGCTTTGTTCTGTTTGTTTTATATAGGAGTAAGATCGTATTTAACTGTGAAAATGACATCAATCCTGCAGGGAGGCTTTCTTATTCTGATGTCATATTTGCAGTATTTCCATAGCTTATCACAAAAGTCAGATCAAGAACATATCATCCAACTTCTGATAGAAGCCATAGGTATTATACTGCAAAGTTCATTATTGAGTTAAGTAATATTATTTAATTGTTAAATTTTCTATTCTTCGCAGATATGTTCTTGGTTGGAACCGGCATGCTTATTTTTGGGATGGGGCTGTACATCATGTTTGTGGGATCAAAGACTATGAAAGGAGGTGCTCCCTCGCTTCCAAGGTCGAACTTGTTTGGGCTCTTCCATTTGAAGGTATTCAACTTAATTTCTTTTATACTCCTTTGTTATACCAAGAACAAACCATCAAGCAATTTACAAGATTTATGTATGATTCTTTCAGACACTTCCGGCTTGGGTTGAAATGAAATCAGTTTCACAAGCAAAGTCAAAAATCGGGCATGCTGTGATGATGATACTTCAAGTTGGTGTTTTGGAGAAATTCAAGAGTATACCTATTGTTACTAGCTTCGATCTTGCCTGCTTTGCTGGGGCTGTGTTGATTTCCTCAGCTTGTATATTCCTTCTCTCGAGGCTTTCAGTTGGCAGTACCATGGGAGATAGGTAGTCGAAAACATTTACAGGAGAAAGAAGAGTGAGAAGAAGAGAGAAACCTTTCATTATTTTGGTCACTTGTTCTTTTTGTAGCATCACTGGTATATGGTTGTATAGCCACACAGCTGTTAATTAGATTGGAAAAAATGAAAATCTTAAAGGTATAAAGGGTAAGCTTTGGGCAAGTTTGCGGTGTTAAGTGTATCAATACCTTTCAGCAGTTGGGGCATCTTCCTTTTGCTGGGTTGATTCTCATACTTTAGTCAATTTGTCAATAAAAATTTGGAGCTATTTATAAAAGATTAGTACAAGTTATCTGTTGGTACAATAATATTAAGTCTCACTTTGAACTACAACAGAGCTTTGGAGATAAGAAAAAATGGAAAAAAAAAAAAAATCTCAAACAGATGATTCTGGCTTTGCCTCATTCTGGAATTGTCTGAGATCTATTGGGAAATCTAAGCTGAAGCTTTACATGATAAGTAGCATCAGCTTCAGATGACTGGGAATCAGTCTGCGCAAAAACTGCAATCCCACGTGCAAATGCAAAAGAACCTGTTCCTCCAACCACTGTTAATTCTTCTCTATCCTTCTTTTCAACATGCTTGGCCTGGACGCTTAGACTCCCAGAAAACTCAGGTGTCTCAAAAGTGAGATAAATTATGTTGAATGCAGAATTAGCAAAATGTTCAATGGGAATAATGAAGCCTTGTGCTTTTCCAACTACATGGGACGTGTTCTCAGGTCCCTCCGTGAGTGCGCGGTGAAAGATAAAGGCTCCAGTATCTGACTGGGCAACAGATGGGATGCTGGAGCTTGAAATATGTGGCTGCTGGATGTACAAGGACAGGGCCAGCCAAGGTTTGGATGGGTTATTTGCTGCCTTTTTGTGGGCTACCGGTGAGAGCAAGGCCAAAAGAATAACAACCAGAATGGCTAAAAGAACTGCAAAGCAAAATATAATTCTAGGAAGCATTTTGCAGAATTGGAGCAGCCTCAAATCTATTGCTTGAATTGATATGTATCTTTTGAGATCACTTTAATACATTACTTGTTGAAACGAACCTGTTCGGTTCCTCGGTGCTTAATGCTTTTGGCCACCAAATCCACTTCCTCAGCTTTAAACCTAAACCGTTAGAAACAATGGTAGCCCCTGGAATTGAGTTGGTCGTGGGCCTTGAGTAGGTAAAATGACTTATGACTACTTATGAATTATGATCATTTAAGGGGCTTATGATCAATAAACTTGAGACAACCAACATCAGAATACATCAAGGTAAGAGTAAGAGTAAGTGTAAGATTCAATTCCTCCGTCTTACAATCAAATCTCTTAGTTTATAGGCTTTTCTTTCATCACTTGCGTAAATAGATGGACAGATAAATAGAAAAGCTTTTAAACAGTGATATGTAAGTAAAAAATATAGCATGGTGAAAGGAGAGTAATCGAAAAGGGCATCTGTTCAATTATATGATAATGATTTATAAAAAATGTTCAATAGCAAAAAGCTGCTTTTGGCAACGCCACCATAGGAGCTATAGACATAAACCTTATCATTTATGCAAAAAGCAAGTAGCTGCTTGTAATAAACTGCTTCCTATATACATTGGGACGGCTAAGGAATCCATGATTTTCTTCATGCTTCCCCGGCAGCAAGGTCAGATCAGCACTGAATGTTCAGTAGAGTACCCAAACTGATTCTCGCCCAGCTTGATTGTTAGGTACAGCACCTCAACTGACTCTGGAAGCCGAACAATAGCCGAGAAGATCCATCACTTCACCCAGGTTAGTAGCTATTGAAATATATGTTAGTCATATTTATCTCTGAATGTCCATGAAATTAAAATTTGAGGGGAAAAAGATCAAGCAATAGACACCAATAACTATTAGTGCTAAAGAGTTGCAATATGCCTACCATATCTTAGTGTCCCAACAATTAGGATGAGGCTTTCTCCACACCCTTTGACCTGTAAGGTGCTATTCTGTGAACTGTCCGCTGGAGGGAACCCAACAAATCCGTTTCAATATATTCATACCTACGCAAGAACAAACAGATATAAATTACATTGAACATTCTGTCTATCCCTAATCAAAATGAATCAACTCTATCAAAACCTCAACTCTGATCTGCAACAACAACCCCCATCTATATGAAACTATGCTAGTCAAGTGTTCAATTAAAAGAAACCTACTATAAATTATAGTCTTCCAATGCATTTAGATGTGATATCAGATCAAAGAGAACTTTAAGGTTTAAATCAGAGACTTACAAATTTCGGCAGAGATTATCTGTAGTCCCGGAAAGAGCAATGATCCTCATTCTAAAACTCAAAATGTCATTCTCAGAGTAGGTATCAAACTTCTCCTCTAAAACTGAAGACAGCTTCTCAACATTAGCCTCAAATTGTTGCTGTTGGTCCTCAAACAAATTCTGCTTTATTTTCCTCTCTGTCTTGCTCATTTCATCTTTGAATTGGTCATCACCAAACATATAGTATGCAAATGCATAGGAATATGAAAGAATGCACCTTGATCTAAAGAGCCTGTAGAGTCCATTTATTATCCAACTGAAATCTTTAGATGTTGATAAATTTTCCTCCAGTATGTTAATTTTTCCAATTATTGTTTCCTTTAGCTTTGACTCGAGCTTTAAAGAATCTATATGAGCTTTATATCGATTGTGGTAGTGAATATAGCGCTCAAGGTAGTGCCTTGCAAGCTCACTTTTCTTCTCATGGTCGTTCTTATATCGTCCACAACTGTGACCAGTAATAGAGGTATACGTGTGATCTCTACCAGTAGCAGTACCACAGATCCAACTGCATAAACAAGAAAGAATTTACAATTTACAAATATCTTTCAATGGACCTTATAGCCAACATACAAAATCATGTAATAATAAAGAGAAATCACCTGGCATAATCCATCTGATTAACCAATTAAATTACACAGTTTCATTCACACAAGAAACATAAGAAGGCAATCAAAGTAAAATGTGACAGGCCTTTTTGGTAATTCCTCCAGTCAAAACTTCCTTACCAAGATTTTATGTCCATACCTTTAATTATGTTGCAAAATGGAACAGAAATCACAAACTATTATCTACAAGAGACAAAGATAAGAGCTCTCACCAAAATGATTGCCCACATAAACAGGATACATGGTTGCAGCCTCCATTCTTTTCAACTGGCTTATGGCATTTTGGACAAGGCTTTGTGTTGATTGTAATCCAATTAACCGTCTCTGATTCATCCTGGCACTTCTTGGACCAGAGTTCCCACATGAGACAAGAACAAGGTGAATGAGCTTCAGATAAACAACTAAAACAAAACTGCATGCCACATGGACATTCAACCTCACAAAGTTCATCATCCTCGATCCGTATTGCATTTCCGCAATGAGGGACACTGGGGCACCATTTAACTCTTCTATTATCCTCAATATATGATTCCAAAAGAACACGATCAAATTTCTCTGAAAGATTAGGATCCCTTATACTAACTAATTGTCTGATTTTTTCTTCATCACAAACAGCATTACACTTGAGTGCCATGCACCTAATGCGTCTACTCTGGCCCTCATTTATCTTCACAATGAAATGTTCAGTCCAACCTAAGCAGAAACAGATAAGAAAGATTTCAGCCTCCTCCTTTTCCAGGCATCAAGAGATTCATAAAGCACTTGTACAATGAAACTTAACAGTTTCATTTCTTCTCCAAATAAGCAGAACCGAGAATTTGCTTAATATATTCATCAATTTTTCTTCTTTAATTTTCTAATTGAATAGAATTAGCAAGTTGTAGCACAGGGTCAATAAAAAGTCAATTTCTATTCCAACAAGATCTTTCCCATTCAGATATAAGAATTAAAAGAGAAAATTAGTTTTCAGGAAAGAAAGAGCTACCCAACTTCAGAACTATGGAAACCTGTCCGACAGTATACTTCAGAATTGGACCAATTCAACAGAAACACCGAGGTTACATGTATATTTAAGCATAATTGGAACCCAAGGTTTAGCAAAAGTAAACATATAATTTGATTTATGGCACTAAACTCACAGTCATTGCAAAAGTAATGACCACAGTCCATAACAGTCAACATATCGGCCAATACATCCTCGTAGCAGATATTGCACGTAAAGGTAGAAGACAATAACTGGTACGAGGCAAGAGCATGATGATCGAGAATTTGTACACCTGCTGCAGCAAACAATTTATCTTTACCATACTCAACAAGCACTGCAAGCACCTTATCCACATCCCAACAATAATGAATAAGCAATGTTCTGGCATGGTGTTCTTTCAAAGACAACAAGTCCATTACTCTGTGTAAGTCCTCCCTCTGCACCAAGAAACATAGAATTTGTTAGTAACCATTATTTATATAAAATCGAATATATCTAAAAACGACATTTTAAAATTAAAAGAAAGTGACAAAATTGTAATTCCAGATACAATATAGGGTTTACCTGAGCAGCCAACAGTGACTCCTTTGTGATCACCTGCAAAAATGAGGGTGAAAGAAATTGAAATTTACAAAAAAAAAAAAAGGAATAAGAACTTTTTTTTTTTTTGCTTAACTCAGTAAACCTAACGGTAATTATATTAGCTAGAAAGAAAAATAAATAAAAATTGAAAATCAAGATCTAGCCATTAAAACCTGGAGGTGATGTTTTAATTTAATTTAATTTAATTTAACAGTAATTGATAAAAAAAAAAAAGAAGAATTAATATCTTTTTTGAAGAAAATGTGATTCTCAACGAAAATGACGAGTAACCTTAGTGGGAGGGAAGGTCGCGTAGGCCGAAAGCAACTCGGTCTCGAGGGCTTGAAATCCAACCGAAGAGTCATCTCCACCATCGTCGTCGTAAAAATCGCCATTATCATCTTCGTGATAGTGCTCGTTATCGCTACTCATATAATCACCCATTCCAATTCCGAACAAAGAAAAAGAAACGCTCTCAATTGTACGTTTCGATCAAATCAAAAACAGAAAAGAGAGAACGATTACGGTTTCGTTGGAAAAGCAAAACAGCGTAATGGAGGAAGCAAGTTTTTCAATTCTTCTCCAGTTTAGAGTGAGCTCTAAAGCGACGATCGCTTCATCAAAAGAATTCGACGATGAGACTCAGAAAGAAAAACTAGTTTATAAGTGTTTTTTTTCTTTTTTAACGGAACTTATCCTTGAGTAACGGCGAAGAGTTCGCGTTTCGCGCCGTCATCACTTACGCCGTTATACATATATTTTTTTTCGGCCAGGGAAAAATAAAATTACGTTGGCTTTTACAGGTTTCATTGTGCTACTTAGGGATTTACTTGCCACGTGGATTAACGTGCCATATGCCGTAACTGGAATAACGTGTACGTCTTTGGTTTATGCAAATTGTGGTTTATTTATCATAATTGCTTTTGGCTTGTGTAAATAAATATCGTTATTTTGCAAATTAATCCTTTTTTTTTCTTTTAACAAAGTTAAAAATTATCAATAAGGAGATAATTTACAAAGTTTTAAAAGAAAATGAAAGTTGTTCACCAAACTTTACTTTTTTTGGTACATTTAAATAATTTATTTAAGTATTTTTATTTTTTTTACATGCTAATTAATTATCAAGATTATATATCAAGTACTTGAGTTGTTAACCTAAAAGTTTAAAAAATAAATTATTAATTCAATAATAGTAAAACCAATTTAATTATCTCAAGTGTAAATTTCAATTGAAATTCAAAAAATAAAACAAAAATCAACTTGTTGAATACCTACATACAAGCCTCTTACATCCTCTTTCTTTTAGCATAATAAAAGCATCTTTAAAATTAAAGTTTATATTTGATAAAAGTTATTAATATAAGATTTCGTTTTTTATACAAATTAAAATGGTTATAAGCATTATTATCGGAATGCTTTGTTCAAATGATAAAAAGAATGTATATCTTTTTTTATTATTCGGATTTAAATTAATTAAAAAATTATGAAAAAATAATTTTTTATAAATTTATTAAATTTGATGTAAATAAATATATTTGAACCATAAAAAAAATATAAAATGAAACTTCAAAGCTCCTTATGGCAAAATAAAAAAAATATATTATAAGCATTTGAAATAAATATTCAATAATCAAATCAATTTAAAAGAATATAGTGCAAAGATTATTCCTCTTTGTTATGCAACAAGCAAGAGACAATAAGAGGACAACAAAGCAAACCAATAAACCTAACCATCAGGCTTCAAAAGCAATCACCTTCAAATCACTCTTTCACATAAAATAAGGAAACGAATACCTTTTCCTTTTTAAGTGTCCTTTGCTGACATAGAAAAAAATGCTTAGTATGTTATGATTTTGAAGAACACAATCTTTTCTTTCAAGAATAAGTCATGATGACTATCCTTTACGATGTAAACCTTTTCATCATAATAATAAATTATTCAAATGATCTTTTATTAACACATTCATAAATATAATCATATAATTTGTTAATAAAATAATAAAATTTTAATTTAAATAATTAAGAATAGAACTTTGTTGGCTTCAAATATCAAAAAATTACACATTATTATTAATTTATTCGTAAGATTGATAAAGGTTGGAATTTAATTAATAACTAGGAACGAATGATATGAATTTATTTTAATGAGTTTTGTTTGTATCAAACTTTTACCTTAAGGTAATCTTAAAAAAATAAAAAAATAAGAGAAATGTTAGAAATACAAGCAAAAAATATTTTTCATTTTTACATTCGATACAAGTTAAAGATCAATATGAAAAAAGTTTGAAGGAGAAAAATATTAAAAAATTAAAAATAAGATGAAATGAAATGATAATGGTTGGGTGTTCATATTTTTTATTTTCTCTTTCCTTGGATAAAAATTTTGAGGAGGAAAAAAATTTTAAGAGGGAAAGACACATGATTTGTGGGAAATGGAAATTTGAGAAATTTTTTTAAATTTTTGAGAGAGAAATATACACAATGAATAATGAATTTTATTTTTATAAGTTTAGTATATGTTTTATTCTCATTTAAAAAAATTAATCTTAAATGATTAAAATTTGGTATTACTTATGTTATTTTAATTGTTTTTATATTTTCTGTGTTTGATTTAAGTTAGATTGACAAGTATCTTGTTAATTAATATATTAAAACTTTTGGTTATTATTTTTCTAGTTAATTTAAAATTAATGAGCTTAATTTTATATACTTAAAAAAATATAATTTCATACGTGAAACTATTTTTTTAATCTCATGCATTTACATTTGTCATGATTGTAAAATTCATAGATATACATATTGAACACTTTTAAATATGCATATTGCCGAGTTATGTTATAAAAAATAATAATTTATTTTATTATATAAGTAAATAAATTAAAATGTCATGAATTATTTTAGATTGTATTAAATAAGACTTTTCATTGATAAAATTATTATTTACTTGATGAATTGTGCAAAAATAAAAAAAATTTATAATCGTGATAAGTGTGATAACTGCTATTTCATCTATTATATTCACAACTATACAACCAACAATTTGACTGCCACCGTAATTTAAATCCGTGCTATAGAGCTTTGCGAGCCTTCTTGAACCCACTAACCTTTCAACCCACTCACGGGCTTCTATGGTCCTCACTCACATTCAGCAATGCACGAGCAATGCCGAGGGAGATTGCTTGAGCCTGTCCTGAAAGGCCTACCCCACGAGCTTTAACAATTACATCGTAACTCGTCTCATGCCACAATATCACCAATGGAACTTTTATGTACTGCAGCCATAACGGATTCCCCTGATGATACTCCTGCAGAAATTAACGCCTAAACATAACCCAGAAACCGAAGGCTAAAAGTTAGCTTGGCATCGCGTTAGTTGATGATAAACTTTCCGGTACCTTCCTGGAGAACCACGCGTGCAATGGCGCATTTACGGTGGCCTGTTCCTATGATAGTCTGAGCCACGAAGCCACCTGGTCTTAACATACTTCTTAAGGTTTTCTACGGGTTTTGATTCAGGAGGGGCTGCCATGGTGAAGGCTATGGAGAGGGAACGGGTGGTTTTAGAGAAAAGAGAAATGGGGAGTGATTTCGGTGGTTGGGGAATTGAGATGCTGTTTAGATTCCCGGAAATTTGAGAGGAAAATGAGAGGGAAGAAAGGGATGACGTAACGGAAGATGTAGAAAGAGCCATTTTTTGTCATGATTTCAACCGTCATTCTTACAGTTGAACGTTTTACAACTGTTGGTTTTTATTATTTTTTTTAATATGGATTTCTTGAGTTTTTGAAACAGGAAATGTTAATCAGTTCAAGCCTAAAAAACTAAGTTCATCATATATTTAACCGTTCTATCCCTAATATCACGATCTCATGAAAGAGTTAAAAATTTCACATCGGTTATGTATTAAAATTGATAATAAAATATAAATATTCACATCACTTTGAATTGATGAAGTGTTCTTTTAGAATAAAATCATAAGGTTCAATAAGTCGAAGCGGATAATATCTTATAAATTAGTGTGGACAATAACGTTTAGCCTGACATTTAAGTTAATCTAACTTGAATTTTGACCCGTGACAAATAATATTAGAACCAGCTTTAAGGTATTAACAATATGTTACTGTGTCACGGGTCGAGACTTAAGCTCCGAACCTACGTGGCTTCGAGACCCGGTCATCTACTCATCCGGCGTCTCAGATCAGTCTTCCTGTCATGGTTCACACCTTGTGAGGTATTATCCGCTCTGGCCCCTTTGGCCTCACGATTTTGTCCTACAAAAGGTGCCTCACAATGCGAATGTGGTGTGAATCATGTTATACCCCAAGGACCCTTCTATTATGTTCGATATGAGATTCAGGACTCTTCCTTAGGTCCGTGACATTCTCTCTCACCCAACCTCGTGACGCCCTCGTCACGGAGGCTGGTCACCCTACCTACCTCCCTCGAGATGCTTGGCGTGGATCGAACGATTTAGGGCTGGCTCTGATACCACTTGTCACGGGTCGAGACTTAAGTTCTGAACCCGCGCGGCTCTAGGACCCGGGCATTCACCCTTCCGGCATCCCAGATCAGCCTGATCGCCACGGTTCACACCCTTGTGAGGTATTGTCCGCTCTGGCCCCCCTTGGCCTCATAGTTTTATCCTACAAAAGACGCTTCACAAGGAAGAGATGGTGTGAACCCTTTTATACCCCAGTGACCCTCCTATTATGTTCGATGTGAGATTCAGGACTCTTTCTTAGGTCCGTGACATTCTCCATCATGAAGGCTGTCCACCATGCCTGCCTCCCTTGAGGTGCTTGGCGTGGATCGAACGATTTAGGGCTGGCTCTGATACCACTTGTCACGGGTCGAGACTTAAGCTCCAAATTCGCGTGACTCTGGGACCCGGGCATTCACCTTTTCTGATGTCTCGAATCAATCTGACTGTCACGGTTCACACCCTTGTGAGGTATTGTCTGCTCTGGCCCCCTTGGCCTCACGGTTTTGTCTTACAAAAGGTGCCTCACAAGGCGAAAGTGGTGTGAACCCTTATATACCCCAGTGACCCTCCTTGTCATGGGTCGAGACTCAAGCTCCGAACTCACGCGACTCTGGGACGAGGGCATTCACCCTTCCGGCATCCCGAATCAGCCTGATCATTACGGTTCACACTCTTGTGAGGTATTGTCCTCTCTGGCCCCCTCTGGCCTCACGGTTTTATCTTACAAAAGGCGTCTCACAAGACGAAGGTGGTGTGAACCCTTTTATACCCCAGTGACCCTCCTATTATGTTCGATGTGAGATTCGAGACTCTTCCTTAGGTCCGTGACATTCTTTCGCACCCAACCTCGTGACGCCCTCGTCACGGAAGCTGACCACCCTGCCTGTCTCCCTTGAGGTGCTTGGCGTGGATTGAACGGTTTAGGGCTGGCTCTGATACCACTTGTCACAGGTCGAGACTCAAGCTCTAAACTCGTACGGCTTCGAGACCCGGGTATTCACCTTTTTGATGTCTCGAATCAGTCTGACTGTCACGGTTCACACCCTTATGAGGTATTGTCCGCTCTGGCCCCTTCTGGCCTCACGGTTTTATCTTACAAAAAGTGCCTCATAAGACGACGGTGGTGTGAACCATTTTATACCCCAGTGACCCTTTTA